ACATAACAATATTAACCTTAAATGTAAATGGGCTAAATGCCCCAATTAAAAGATATAGACTGGCAAATTGGATAAAAAGTCAAGACCCATTGGTGTGCAGTATTCAGGAGACCCATCTTATGTGCAAAGACACACATAGGCTCAAAATAAAGGGATGGATGAATATTAACCAAGCAAATGGAAAGAAAAACAAAAGCAGTAGTTGCAATCCTAGTCTCTGATAAAGCAAACATTAAACCAACAAAGATCAAAAAAGACAAAGAAGGGCATTACATAATGATAAAGGGATCAATGCAGCAAGAAGAGCTAACTATCCTAAATATATATGCACCCAATACAAGAGTACCCAGATTATGAAGCAAGTTCTTAAGATCTACAAAAAGACTTAGAATCCCACCCAATAATAGTAGGGGACTTTAACACCCCACTGTCAATATGAGACAGATCAATGAGACAGAAACTCAACAATGATATTCAGGACTTGAACACGGCTCTGGACCAAGCGGACCTAATAGACATCTATAGAGCTCTCCACCCAAAATCAGCAGAATATACATTCTTCTCAGCACCACATCACACTTTTTCTATAATTGACCACATAATTGGAAGTAAAACACTCCTCAGCAAATGCAAAAGAACGGAAATCATAAAAAACAGTCTCTCAGACCACAGTGCAATCAAATTAGAACTCAGGATTAAGAAGCTCACTCAAAACTGCACAACTACATGGAAACTGAACAACCTGCTCCTGAATGACTACTGGGTAAATAACAAAATTAAGGCAGAAATAAAGATGTTCTTTGAAACCAATGAGAACAAAGAGAAAATGTATGAGAATCTCTGGGACACATTTAAAGCAGTGTGTAGAGGGAAATTTATAGCACTAAATGCCTACAAGAGAAAGCAGGAAAGATCTAAAATTGACACCCTAACATCGCAATTAAAAGAACTAGAGAAGCAAGAGCAAGCAAATTCAAAAGCTAGCAGAAGGCAAGCTTTTCAACAGATTTTCAGTGTAGACAAAACAGCCCTGTACAGAAAGAAGCTGCCACCTAGGACTTATATAGCTAGACAGGAGAAATCATTTCCTGGCTTTAAAACTTCAAAGGACAGGCTGACTTGTTTGTTAGGGGATAATGCAGCTGATTACTTTAATTTGAAGCCAATGCTCATTTTCCATTTTGAAAATTCTAGTGCCCTTAAGAATTATGCTAAATCTACTCTGCTTATTCTCTATAAATGGAACAACCAAGTCCATATAACAGCATATCTGTTTACAGCACTACAGCATGGTTTATTGAATATTTTAGGCCTACTGTTAAGACCACCTCAGAAAAAAAAAATCCTTTCAAAATATTACTTCTCATTGAAAATGCATCTAGTCACACAAGAGCTCTGATGGAGATGTATAAGAAGATTGATGTTGTTTTCTTTCCTGCTAATGTGGCATTCATCCTGCAGCCTAGAGATCAAAGAGTAATACTGATTTTCAAGTCCTGTTATTTAAGAAATACATTTCATAAGACTATGGTTGCCAGAGATAATGACTCCTCTGATGAATCTGGGAAGAAGTAAATTATACCTTCTAGAAGTGATTCATCATTCTCGCTGCCATTAAGAACATTTGCACTTCATGGGAGGAGGTCAAAATATCAACATTAACGGGAGTTTGGAATAAGTTGATTCCAACCCCAAGGATGACTTTGAGGGGTTCAAGACTTCACTGGAACAAATAACTGCAGATTTGGTGGAAATAGCAAGAAAACTAGAATTAGAAGTGGAGCCAGAAGATGTAACAGAATTGCTGCAGTCTCATGTTAAAACTTTTTAATAAATGAGGAATTGCTTTTTATGTATAAGGAAAGAAAGCAGTTTCTTGGAATAGAATCTACTCCTGGTGGAGACGCTGTGAACATTGTTGAAATGACAACAAAGGACTTATAATATTACATAAACATATTTGATAAAGCAGTGGTGGGGTTTGAGAGCATAGACTTTAATTTTAAAAGAAGTACTGCTGTGGGTAAAATGTTATCAACCAGAATCACATGATGTAGAGAAATGGTATAAAAGAAAGGGTCAATGAATTTGGCAAACTTTACTGTTTTCTAGATTTAAGAAATTGCCACAGCTACCTCATTCTTTACGTGCCACCACCCTGATCATTCAGCAGCCATAAACATCAAGGCAAGACCCTCCATCAGTAAAAAGATTACAACTCACTGAAGGTTTGGATGATTGTTAGCATTTTCAGGCAAGCACTAAAATATTTTCAATAAAAGAATGTGCATTATTTAGACATAATGCTATTGCACACTTAATAGACTACAATATAGTGTAAACATAACTTTTATATGAAATAGAAAACTAAAAATTCATGTGACTCACTTTATTGTGATACTTACTTTGTTACAATATTTGCTTTCTTGTAGTGGTCGGGAACTGAATTTGCAGTATTTCCAAGGTATTCTTGTACTTTAAATGGATGAATTGTATTTTCATGAATTAAACTTCAATAAACTTGTTTTGTGAAAATTTGACAATATAAGAAAATTTTAAAAACACAAAATATGTGAATAGACACTTCACCATAAATAGAGATAGCAATAGCAAATAAATGCAGGAAAAGAAGCTCAGTATCGTTAGCTATTAGGGGAATGCAAATTAAAACCACAATGAGATACCACCACTTACCTATTACAATGGCTTAAAAATGGACCATATAAAACAATAGCAAGGATATGGAACAATTAGATCTCCTACATACACTGCAGATGGAAATGCAAATTGGTACAACTACTTTGAAAAACAGTTTGGCAGCTTCTTAAGTTAACCATACAACTACCATATGAATCAGTCATTTCATTCTTAGATATTTAATCAAGGCAAATAAAAGAATATATCTACACAAAGGCGTGTATACAAATAATCATAGCAACTTAATTTGTAAAACTGGAAATAACTCAAAGGTTCATCACAGTTGAATGAATAAACAAATTGTAGTATATGCATTCTAGCAGGCAGAAGAAAAAGTGTACTAGAGATCAGAAGACCTGTATTCCAATTCTGGAGTTTCATGAGTTAGAATAAGTACAGTAACATTAAAATTTGTCACTGTTCTTATTTAGACAATGAAGGAAATAATATTTCCCTTTTTTATATGTTGGTTCTAAAACTCAAATGAGGTAAATATATGGAATTATTTGGTAAGCTATAATTTTATGACATTTTATTGGTTTTTAACTTCTTGATTTTTTTCTGATTGCATCTATGAAATTATATTTTCTGAAATTTTAGTTTTTCTTTCTTCAGATGTATTATCATATTAAAGAAGGCTATAGCCTTAGAACATTTTCTTTAAGTCCTTAACTAATAACTGACTACATTTTGACATTCTTGGAAGGTTCATTTGTGTTTGATAATTTACTTCCTGTGAAACACAGAAGGCTAGTATAAGGGGTAACAAGAATATCATCATGACTGATTGTTGATTTTTTAGCACATTAACAAACATTTATATTCAGTCTTTGAATTATATGTTTTGGGTTCCTGCACCCAATAAAAGATTTTGGGCACTCAAATATCCAGTCCATGTTTACTCTTGCATGGCCAATCTCAAATAATGCCTTCAAATTGGAGCATATCTTTATTGTTAGAAAATATAATTATGAATAACACATGTAAGTTAGGCTCCAAAGTTCTGCAGGTTTCTTCTCTCTGGTTTACTGTTCCTCTTAAAAACATTTTTGTGTAAAAACATAAAACTGAATGAAGCTAATTTCACCAAAGAATGTATATATTTAAGTCAAGCGCTGGACTGTTACACAGCATTATGCTACTTAATAGTCTCAATTTGGCTTTTATTGGCTTAAACTATATTGATGATTTACTGTACATGAACTGTCTATCGCAGCGATATATTTCTTGGTAAATATAGAATGAAAAAAAGAAAAAGAGAAAAAAAAAAAAAAAAGCCCAAGCAGAAGAAAGGTGGTTTTCCCCATCAGGGGAAAAATGGTTTCTGGTTTGTCAGTTCTACAAAAGAGGATGGTGCTTTTTTCCAAATGGTGGAAGAAGGCTTATTTTGTGGCGGCTTCTTCTTCTTCTTCTTTCTTTTTTCTTCTTTCTTCTTCTTCTCTTCTTCTTCTTCTTCTTCTTCTTCTTCTTCTTCTTCTTCTTCTTCTTCTTCTTCTTCTTCTCCTCCTCCTCCTCCTCCTCCTCCTCCTCCTCCTTTTCTTCTTCTTCTTATTCTCCTCTTCCTCCTCCTCCTCCTCCTTCTTCTCCTCCTCCTTCTCCTCCTTCTCCTCCTCCTTCTCCTCCTTCTTCTTCTTCTTCTGATGGGGTCTTTCTCTGTTGCCCAGGCTGGAGGGCAGTGGCACAATCTCAGCTCACTGCAAGCTGCGCCTCCCGGGTTCGTACCATTCTCCTGCCTCAGCCTCCTGAGTAGCTGGGACTACAGGCGCCCGCCACCGCACCAGGCTATTTTTTTGTTTTTGTTTTTGTTTTTGTTTTTGTTTTGGTGTGTGTGTGTGTGTATTTTTAGTAGAGACGGAGTTTCACCATGGTCTTGATCTCTTGATCTCGAGATCCGCCCGCCTCAGCCTCCCAAAGTGCTGGGATTACAGGCGTGAGCCACCGCTCCCAGCCTATTTGGCTTCTTCTTTTAATAGGAGCTCGTTTCTTCTTCATGATGGTCATCTGTCCTGACAGATAGCCCTTTAACTTGCTTATGAATTTTAGAAAATTCTTTGGATCATGTTGTGTTTGCATATGTATTTGTTCTTTGTCATTGCTATGCCATGTTTATTTTAGTTTACCTCCCTCTCTCTTTCTGTCTCTGTCTAGTCAGACAATCGTGAGGATTAATTTATGAAAAGCTAGCAAAGGCTAATATTCTTTTTTAATCCCTTTCACTACCTCTGTCTTCTATAAAGATTTAACTCTGAGGGGGTTATGTAATTAACAGTCACCAATTCTGTTTGTTTTTACCCCTCTACAAGGAAATAGACTAAATAGCCAAGTTGCAAGATACCACTGCTTCTTTTAAGAATGATGGGTTTCCCAGGTGATACTTGAAAGAAGAGATAATGACCACCTATCTCCTTCATCCTGGTCACACAGAAAGGTAGGTGAGTAACAGCTCCTCTAGGATACATATCTACATTTGCACTATTATGTGACTCACTCTATCTGCTTCTTCAAAACATTGTTTCTTATTATGTTTGCCTATGTGATGATAGTCAACTCACAAAAATAGCTGCTATTCAATGATGAGTACAAAATGAAAAACTTGGAAGATCAGGAAAATGCTTTCTTCCTTGAGGATCTTACAAGTTATTTAGCAGTTATTTATTGAACATCTACTATATGCAAGGCTTAGCACAGGGCCTTAGAAATGAATAACACTCACCCTGTCCTCGTGAAGCTCAGTATAGCAGAATGAAAACTAGTCAGAACCTTCTTAGTGTACTTCCTGACTGTGGAGGCAACTTGTGACCCTTTTCTTGACTACCCACAAAGATATTGTTATTGCATTTATAAATCATTAAAACTGTAGGATCAGAAGGGGACTTCTCAGGAACAGATATAGGTACACAAGATTGACTCTTTCATCATGATAGTTGTGGCAACAAGGAGCTGCAAATAACATGTTTGCTAGCATGGTCAGCTCAAATCTCAGTGCTTCAAGGGAATAGATTTTTCCACAGCTTGATAATACAAAGTTGGGCAGTAACCCTAAGATCCCTACAATATCAACTCTAGGAAAGCACCTCACTCTTGAACATGTCACACATCTAATAGAGAGTTATGATTATATTTACATAAAGCTACATACCATTTTTTGAAATTTTCTTGTGTATGAATGAACCATGGAATATACTTTCTAATAATTTCAGATTAAATAAGATTTCCAGTTTCTTCTCGATTTTAACTGATTTTTTTACCTATCCAATAACCTTGACTCAGATGATTTATTCACACAGTAAACAAATTTTCCAAGGCATTCTTAATTTCAAACATTCTCTTTCATTATCTTTCTAAGCCTTCAGAATATCCCAAAACTTCTAATTTTTTTCTTTTATCTGTTTATTTTCTTGACACACCCTTAGGAGGTCCTAATGTCATGTGTCCTGAAATTCTAATTTTTTAATATCTAAGTTACACCTCCCAGATTGCATCCAGGACCAAGAAACAACACAAAACCCCCATGTGTCAGAACTTATGGCCTGATTTGGAGTTTGGAAAATACAGTCACTATACAACTAAAGTAATCTTTAAGGAATGGAAAAATTCCCAAAGCTGTGGAGTGGGAAGAATAATAAGAACCTCCACAAATCTTTGTTAGGCCACAATTTGCTTCTGGACCATAGTTTAATGATCTGACTTCTAGATAGAAAACATTTTTTGAACCACCTAAAATTATAAAATATCAAGTGGTTATCAGTGTAATGATTAACATTTTAATTTTAATGTTCTCAAAATGACTTATTATTTTATTTTGGAGTGAGGTAGAAAGGGATGGCTCTTCTTATTCAGGTGTTTTTTTGTTTGTATGTTTCTGTCAAGTTTGTAAACTGTACATATGTCTTTTCATTTAATTGGATCAGAAAAGTCTCCTCATGGTGAAAATCTGATGTATTTCAAGCAGTTAGGAATTAATGTTTATTCTAAATTGTGGTCTTTTAAGATTTATGATCTTATTTTGTTTTGCATAAAAGGTCAAAAAGAGGAAATAGTCATACCTAATCTGTAAATCATGGATAAGATCTATATAAAAACATTTGCTACTTAATAAAATTTAGATAATGGTTATTAAATTCACTGTTCATCTGTGGTTCTCTTTTTAAAAATAGTCTTATTTATAATTTATGTAAATATAATTCAAAATTATACGTATAACTCAGCTATTATTCTTTTAAACTGAATCTTACTTACGGTCACAAAATAAGTTTTCTTAGGCCTGTGGAATATTCTCAGGGTCAATATGTATAAAAGACTAAAAAAGTGCTACATCTCAGATTAGCACAATTATTGAATAATTGGCACAATTATCTCAGCCTGTGAGATCCAAATATCTTTGTGCCCTAATTATAATACATAACTTTAAATGGGTAAAAGGTGTTTCAGTGGTCGATTTATCAAGTTCTAATCATAGGTTTGCCTTCTGCTCATTGAATCTATTTTACCCAAGGCTATGGACTCCTTTTGGCATTTCTGCCTCAGCAACAGAGGATAAAAGCCATGTTGTGATAGATAAGTCACAAAAGTAAAAAATACAGACGTGGACTACAGGCCTCCAAAGAAGAATTGAGCATGCTGAGGATCTGTGCCAGACATTGGACATTTTTGAGGTGTTAAGAGGTGGGTACTTTAGTGGTTGTTGTTGTTGTTGTTGTTGTGTGTGTGTGTGTGTGCATGTGCTTGAAAGGGTAAACTATAGTGAGATGATCTGTGTAATATGAAAAGTTAAGGCATTTTATTTGTAAGAAAGTGAAGCTTTCTTCCAGATAGACTGAGGCATCAAAGCAGTGGTGAAAATCTGAACAACACAGCTAATAAAATTATGTTCTTAGGTTGAAAATATGTAGGCTTTTGGAGTTAACAGGAAATCATCATAGGAAGGGCTGAGAGGAAAGGGAATATCACTTATTGAACTTTACAAATCAAGTACCAAGAGCTTTACATGTGTTATCACATTTAATCCTCATAGCAATCCTATGATGTAGGTATTATCGTCTCCATTTTACAAATTAAAAAACTATCTTAAGCAGGTTATTTGACTTGCCTAAGATCATATAACTATTAAATTTAGGGTTTTGTTTTATATCCAGATCTCTCTGACTTCTAACACTGTGCTTAGAAAGAACTAAATATGTAAGAGAAAAATGTGACTATATCATTTCATGCTTTTCTTATGAAGAATTCTACCTCCATTTCATTGTGCCCCTACTTTAGTTTTTGGAGGAAAGTTTTTCACGTGGTATATTCAGAAAATACTTCACAACCACAATTTATGCAACTTAAAAAAAATTGCACTAGAGAAAGAAGCAACGATTCTCAGGAATAAAGCATCTATGATTCTTTTTTTTTTCTTTTTCCTTCTGCATTTTTCCATATATTATTAATACATAAGTGAGAACCAAAATTTCCAGAATAAGTATATCCTTTGTAAGTGTAGAATTGAACCCTTCCAACTTCTGAGATCTGTTTGTTTAGCTAAATCAGCAATGCAAAGTTAATTCTAACTGATTCTAGACTTGTGTTGCATACTTTTGGACACTTGATCAGTCTAAGCAATTGAAGCCTCTTCTTATAATTTAGGAGTATTTAGGTAGTTGACCAGGCATGGTGGCTGTCTGGGCATGGTGGCTCATGCCTGCAATCCCAGCATTTTGGGAGGCCAAAGCGAGAGGATCACTTGAGCTTAGGAGTTCAAGACCAGCCTGTGCAACATAGTGAGACCTCGTCTGTATTTAAAAAAAAAAAAAAAGGTAGAAAAAAAAGTATTTATATAGTTTCAAAGAAAGGTTGAGATATGTTTATTTTTTATAAAATATGTAAGTTTAGTTACAATCTTTAGAACTTCTTCCACGTGGCATTTATTAATTCACAGTCACATCTTTAGTAATATTTTTCAGAATTCATTAAGTATGGCAAAATCATAGGCCATTATGGTATACTGGAAAGATTCCTTCACTTGAGATCAGAGAATCTAGGTTTAAATCTCAGCTCTCTTGTTTACCGTGTAAAGTTTGGCTATTAATTTACTCTCTCGGAGCCTCAATTTTCTCATCTGTAATATGAAAATAATCCTTACCTCATGTATTTGTTGTGAAAATAACTTGAAATAAAAAATAGGAAAGTACCTTGTAAGCAATAACATTCTACCATAATGTGAGGAGAAATGAAATAAAATGAACACCAAAGGAATATTTACCATATGCTAGTCACTAACTTATTTTCTATTTGTTGCTCCAGCAAGACCAATATCTGTATATCCCTAAGGAAAAACTAACATGACCTCCAGCCTTGGTTCACATTTTCTGGTTGTCCTACCTATAGCCTCAGTAGCCATGCAATGGTTTACAATCTACTGGCAGGAAGGTAAAATGCGTGAAAGAATTGCCTTCTAGGTCATTCTCTTTGTGAAAAGTAATCTCCCACCAAGGAGAAGCCTGCTTGACAGTTCATATTAAAATCTTGGTTCAAAGCAGTGAATGAAAAGTTGGAGATGAACAGTAGTTTCCTAACAAAGCCCAACAAGACCATTTAGGTAAGACATTGTAGTAGAGTAGGAAATACATTGAATGGGAAGAAAGGGAACCAGAGGTCCAATCCTGATTTTACCACTGCCTGATTGTATAATCTAAAAAAGGTTTCTTTTTCCTCTTGGCCTCACTGTCCCCTTTTATACAGTAATGTGGGATAGACTAGATTATCTCTAAGGTCTATTCCAACATTGATATTTGAATATCCTATTCTTAATTTTAATAGAAAGATTTAAATTATATATTTAAGTTTTAGGATGCTATTTTATATCTCAAAAGGAAAAAGAAAAAAATGCACAAATGATTTCTCTGTTGTGAATTATAATAAACATTCACTTACATTAATAACTTTATTGGAAGTAGAATTAGCATAATCCTTTACATTTTCAAAGTATTTTAAAGATCCATCATATCATTTGAGTCTCATAATAATGACAATATTTTATTATTTATCTTTACATGGTAAATTAAGTAATTGAGCCTCAAGGAGGTTAAAGGTTTGCACAAAGTCACATAGCCAGTACATGATGGATCCAGAAATCCAACTGTAGTCTATTTCTAAGCCCAGTTTTTTTTCCACTACCTCAAGCTGTAGATTATTTTATCCAGGCTTAGAATAAGTGGATCTCATCTGGAAAATGAATTAAAAAGGGAAGAGTCACTGTTATTTATGTATGCTAAAAGTATAAACAAGTAAGAATACTTAAGAATAAGGACAATGTTGAAGTTGCTTATCAGCTTAAGGAGATTTTGGGCTGAGACAATGGGATTTTCTAAATATACAATCATGTCATCTGCAAAGAGGGATAATTTGACTTCTTCTTTTCCTAACTGAATACCCTTGATTTCTTTCTCTTGCCTGATTGCCCTAGCCAGAACTTCCAACACTATGTTGAATAGGAGTGGTGAGAGAGGGCATCCCTGTCTTGTGCCAGTTTTCAAAGGGAATTTTTCCAGTTTTTGCCCATTCAGTATGATATTGGCTGTGGGTTTGTCATAAATAGCTCTTATTATTTTGAGGTACGTTCCATCAATACCGAATTTATTGAGCGTTTTTAGCATGAAGGGCTGTTGAATTTTGTCAAAAGCCTTTTCTGCATCTATTGAGATAATCATGTGGTTCTTGTCTTTGGTTCTGTTTATATGCTGGATTATGTTTATTGATTTGCGAATGTTGAACCAGCCTTGCATCCCAGGGATGAAGCCCACTTGATCATGGTGGATAAGCTTTTTGATGTGTTGCTAAATCCGGTTTGCCAGTATTTTATTGAGGATTTTTGCATCGATGTTCATCAGGGATATTGGTCTAAAATTCTCTTTTTTTGTTGTGTCTCTGCCAGGCTTTGGTATCAGGATGATGTTGGCCTCATAAAATGAGTTAGGGAGGATTCCCTCTTTTTCTATTGATTGGAATAGTTTCAGAAGGAATGGTACCAGCTCCTCCTTGTACCTCTGGTAGAATTCAGCTGTGAATCCATCTGGTCCTGGACTTTTTTTGGTTGGTAGGCTATTAATTATTGCCTCAATTTCAGAGCCTGCTATTGGTCTATTCAGGGATTCAACTTCTTCCTGGCTTAGTCTTGGAAGAGTGTAAGTGTCCAGGAAATTATCCATTTCTTCTAGATTTTCTAGTTTATTTTCATAGAGGTGTTTATAGTATTCTCTGATGGTAGTTTGTATTTCTGTGGGGTAGCAAAGTCTCAGGATACAAAATTAATGTGCAAAAATCACAAGCATTCGTATACACCAGTAACAGACAAACAGAGAGCCAAATCATGAATGAACTTCCATTCACAATTACTTCAAAGAGAATAAAATACCTAGGCATCCAACTTACAAGGGATGGGAAAGACCTCTTCAAGGAGAACTACAAACCACTGCTCAGTGAAATAAAAGAGGACACAAACAAATGGAAGAACATACCATGCTCATGGATAGGAAGAATCAATATCGTGAAAATGGCCATACTGCCCAAGGTTATTTATAGATTCAATGCCATCCCCATCAAGCTACCAATGAGTTTCTTCACAGAATTGGAAAAAACTGCTTTAAAGTTCATATGGAACCAAAAAAGAGCCCGCATCTCCAAGACAATCAAGACAATCCTAAGTCAAAAGAACAAAGCTGGAGGCATCACGCTACCTGACTTCAAACTATACTACAAGGCTACAGTAACCAAAACAGCATGGTACTGGTACCAAAACAGACATATAGACCAATGGAACAGAACAGAGTCCTCAGAAATAATACCACACATCTACAGCCATCTGATCTTTGACAAACCTGAGAGAAACAAGAAATGGGGAAAGGATTCCCTATTTAATAAATGGTGCTGGGAAAATTGGCTAGCCATAAGTAGAAAGCTGAAACTGGATCCTTTCCTTACTCCTTATACGAAAATTAATTCAAGATGGATTAGAGACTTAAATGTTAAACCTAATACCATAAAAAACCCTAGAGGAAAACCTAGGTAGTACCATTCAGGACATAGGCATGGGCAAAGACTTCATGTCTAAAACACCAAAAGCAACGGCAGCAAAAGCCAAAATTGACAAATGGGATCTCATTAAACTAAAGAGCTTCTGCACAGCAAAAGAAACTACCATCAGAGTGAACAGGCAACCTACAGAATGGGAGAAAATTTTTGCAATCTACTCATCTGACAAAGGGCTAATATCCAGAACCTAAAAAGAACTCAAACAAATTTACAAGAAAAAACCAAACAGCCCCATCAAAAAGTGGGCAAAGGATATGAACAGACATTTCTCAAAAGAAGACATTCATACAGCCAACAGACACATGAAGAAATGCTCATCATCACTGGCCATCAGAGAAATGCAAATCAAAACCACAATGAGATACCATCTCACACCAGTTAGAATGGTGATCATTAAAAAGTCAGGAAACAACAGGTGCTGGAGAGGATGTGGAGAAATAGGAACACTTTTACACTGTTGGTGGGATTGTAAACTAGTTCAACCATTATGGAAAACAGTATGGTGATTCCTCAAGGATCTAGAACTAGATGTACCATATGACCCAGCCATCCCATTACTGGGTATATACCCAAAGGATTATAAATCATGCTGCTAT